ATCTCCCCCCATCTCCCCCAGTATCTCCCCATCTCCCCACAGGCGGGGCGTCCGAGCTCGCCAACGAGACCAGCGTGGGCAGCCTGCGGCCAAAGCGGTGTGCCGAGGGCCGCGGCCGCTGCCTGCGAGTCGGCCTGCTGCCGCACGCCGAGTTCCCTCGCCACGGCGACTGGCGCGCCCTCGCGCCGACGGCGCTGGTCTACCACCTCACCAACAACAACGCGGACGGATGCCCGCTCGCCCGCCGCCGCGCGGCCGCGCCGGAGCCGGCGCCGCAGCCGCCGGCGCCGCAGCCGTGCGTGTACGGGGCGCGGCCCTTCCGAGGGTACCGGCAGCGGCTCGATCGGTACGACGAGGCTCGGCGGACTTTCAGAGGTTGGGACGAGGGCGCGCGCCGCAGACCCGCAGCCGCCCTCTCCGGTGTGAGTAGGTGGACTTTGAGGAGATGCGTGAGACGCTGCGCTCGGTCGGCGCTTGGATCGCGGAGGCGGAGGACGGCGGCGGCGGCGCGTCGGCCGTCGGCGGGGCGGAGGAGCAGCCCAACAGCTTGCGCTGCAGCGGGAGGAGTTGCCGCGGTCCGGACGGCGTCGATCTGCCATGAGAGTTGTGTGCTGTGAGTCTGTGCGCGTGTCCCCCGATTTCGGTACGATGCTTTCTTTTTTCCGAACGAGAATTCTTTTGGCGCGGTGGGGCCTACCCCTAAAAGAGCTAAGTTCTTTTTGTAATCTCTCCCCCCCCCCCCCCCGAAACTAGCCCCGAAAGCGACAAAAGCGCCCTAGCTTCCGACCGTGCTCCCCGCTGCTGCTCAGGGGACAAGAGACCTTTGGGGTTCGCCGGAAAAAACCCCCTCCCCCCCCCCCAAATTTTGGCCCCAGTTCAAAGGGGGGAAAAGGGGCGGCGTTGGCATTCGCCTTTTTTTGGGGGGACCAACCTTCAGCGAACCCCCGACCGTTGAACTTTTTCCTTGAGGTTCCCCCCCCCCACCCCCCCCGCCTTGCGCTGCCCTGCACAAACTTATTGACAAACACACACCCCACACGCACTCGAACACCCGCACATACACGACCCCGCTGCCCTCAAAAGAAGCTATCAAATACAAAGAAGCTAACAAATACGTGTATGGGAGGTAAAGGTGGCGGCGTCACGCTGCCCGGCTTCACGGGGCAGCCCCGCCCTTGCGAGGCAGGCAAGTGAAAGACTGACCCCATACGCCGACTGCCCAATCCCCCCTTCCCCCTCTCCAAACTCGACGAGCCGACGCACGGCCGTTGAGCCTCTGCCCTGCGCCCCCCGTAGCTCGGCGACTTTCTTTCTAAGTGTCGTGAGAGATAGCGGGCTCTGTGGCCAGCACAACGCAAGCTGCTGCACACTGGATTCACTCCCAGTAAGCCGTCGGGACAGCATAAGCCCGCGCACGCCGAAGCTGGCGCTTGCACACAGCACACGCCACGTCACACTCGGAGCACTCGGGACAGCCGGCACGGAACGCAAGCTCCTTCTCCTGGTCAGCCTTGAACCAGCCTGCTATGCGCGCCCCCGCCTTCTCCGCGGCGGGGATAGGATGCCCCACATCGGCCATCTCCTTCGTGAGCCGCGTGAGGCCCCGCGCAAACTTCTCCGGGTGTATGTTCGCTTCGATTTTATTCGATGCGCAATTCGCGCCGGCTTTTCCACCGGTCGCCATTGCCCATCTTTCGCCGATCTGCTGCCCCCGCGGGCGGCGATGGCGGACAGCAGCGCGCCTGGCGCGCCGGCAGTGCCGTCGGATGGCACGGCTGGTCGGCTGCGTCCACCTGCAGCCGGGGTGCGCGCTCGCCCTGATGCCGCGTCGTCGTCGCTCACGAACGCCCTCCTGAAGCGCCCTGCCGACCGGCCAGCCGGCGAGCACGAGCGCGCAGCTTCTCGATCCCGCGGCGCAGCGCCGCGGATGGAGGCCCTTGGGTCGGTGGAGAAGGACCCGGGCGCGTCCGCCTCGAGAGTGGCGGTGCTCCTCAAATACCGCTCAAACGCCCACGATGTTGTGGAGGGGACATGTGCTGATGATCCAGCTGCGCAGGCGCGCAGCCAGGCCGGGTCCAATATAGGGGTCGAATACTCGCTGCCCCCGGAGAGGGACGACGGGTATCGACGCGGCCCCAGCAAGGTGTACGCCACAGTTCCCAAGGGGACCGTGGCGACGACGGTCGCCCCGGACTGGCTCGCGAACGAGCTGGCCGGGCGCGGCAAGGTTGATGCGGCATACCGCGACCGCATAGTCATGCACCTGATGACGGCCGCCGGCGCCTCGGCGCCGGCCGACGCTGTGTTCAGGTTCACGGCTGGCGAGGCGATGCAGACCGAGGACGACGACGAGGACGCCGACCCTCCGAGGAGTATTCCGACGACGGGAGGGTGTCCGACCTGTAGCTGGCCTCACCCATATCTTACCTTCTGCCCCCCCCTCCTGCGACCCCCCACACTGGTCAAACTATTAGCCTCATAATGAGGAAAAGGCTAATAGCGATTTCAAATAGTGCTACTATTAGCTCAGAGGGGCTAATAGTGCAATTATTAGGTGTGCTAATAGCCGATGTCCTAATAATGGACCCTCATAATGCGCACTTAGCGATTTCGCGATTCATGCCGCATGCTTCACGGCGCGCCCCGGCCTAATAGCTGGGCCTCATAGCGACATGCCGGCCACGGAGCTCGTCGCGCCCATGCCGCCATCGGCGCCCGCTGACCATCTGGCGTGCAGCGAGAAACCCTCTGCGAGCTGGCGCCAGCGTGGTGGTTTGGCGGCGTGCGGCGCAGCGCTGGTCTTCTTGGCGTCCATCCACGCTGATCGCGGAGGATCCGGCGAGAAGCCTTGCGCTGCCATCGGTCAAGGCGCAGCTGGACGAGACGATGCGAGAGGAAGGCCGGCGGCTTTTCGAAGCGCAGCACGACCTGCCGCGCCCGGCGCGCTGATGCCGACCACTGCAGGGTTTGTTGTCGACACGAGCAGTGTTTTTCTTGTTTGACTTGGCGATTTGAGAGTCGCGCACAGCACACTGGCCAGTGTGCTCCTCGCTCGCTCCCCGCTCGCCTCGGTGACCTGTCGCCCACCAGCGCGCGGCGACCGCGCGCACACCACCAGCGCGCGGCGACCGCGCACACCGCGCCCGCCGGCTCTCCGCCCTCCTCACCACCCGTCGGCGCTGTCCGCAGGCATGTGAGGCGGAACGGCGACCGCACAGCGCGCGCGGGTGTGGAGAACGTGATCAACCGCCGGGCTTCGGCCCCTCGCCGGCGAGGTCCTGGGTCATCCCCGGGCGGCGGTCCGGGCGGCAGCAGATCTCTGCGCCGCCCGCATCCTGTTCGTGATCAGGGCGTGCGCAGTTTGAAATTGCAAGGTCCGAGCGCGCGCCCGCGCCCGCCGCGCCCCGCACGCAGCCACATCCTGCGTTCTGCGGCGGCAGCGGCCTTATCTCTCTCTCTCCCTGCTCTCCCAAGCCGTGCGCACCGTCGCCGCGCGCGCGCGCCGCCGCAAGCTGCCGGGCTGACGCTCGTCCCCGTGCCCCTGTTGCGCAGGCAACACCCGCGCTCGTGCGGACCGCACGACCAGCTTCCTGCTCGCGCCGCCCTCGCTGTGGCCCGGCGTCTCCGCCGGCGGCTGGTGCGTCAAGGTGATGAAGAGCACCACCAAGCCTGACGTCACCACGGTCAAGTTCAACGACTCCACGTTCTCGTTCGCCGTGGTTGCCTCATGGAAGCCCGTCTCCTAGAGAGTCGGCGCCATCGCTCTTGCCGCGCCGCGCGTAGTGCGCGTCGCGCGGGTACCGCACTATTAGGGCACTATTAGGGCCACTATTAGGCTCTCATAGTGCCCTAATAGCGCCCTAATAGTCGCTATTAGCCCATCTCATAGTGGTGTTCTAATAGCTCCAGACGTTATGAAGCTCAGCTATTAGCCCCTCTGAGCTAATAGTAGCACTATTTGAAATCGCTATTAGCCTTTTCCTCATTATGAGGCTAATAGTTTGACCAGTGCAGGCTAGATGGAGTAGTCACAGATAAGCCGGATGAAGATTCTGCCCCACACAGCCCCTTACCCCTTCACCCTCGCCTCGCTGCTTGGTGTTTCTGAACACGTATTGCAATAGACGTCCACGCTGTGGGGGTTGTGTGTGGGTCCTGTGTCTGGGAGGGAGGGAGTGGGGTGCAGGTTGCTCACCCACGGCACCGGGCCGGTGCTTGCACTTTGAATGCCGTGGGGCTCCTGCCCGTGTCCGGGCGTGGAGATGCGAGGGTCGCCCCCCCTTGCCCCACCACGTTGTGTGTGTGGAGACGTTTACCTTACCTTACCTTACCTGATCCTGGTCCGATTAAGTAGGTTACATCATATCCTAAGCTTGGTGGCGCCGTTGAGCCGCCGATACGCAATTCGCAACATATGGCTAGACACACATTACATCGTCGCGTAGCGCAGCCGCGCTCGAGCGCAGCCACTGGCGCGCTCGGCTTGCTGGTCAAGCGGTCATCCTTACTGAGGCCCCTGCCCTCCCACGACTCTCTGAGCCCCACATTCTCTCCGCTCCGCCTCTCTTTGTTGTGGGCAACATACGCATGTGAGGACCTCTTGAGGACCTCGCTCCGATGTGAGGACCTCCTTTGTGAGGACCTTTGCTCTCTTGCCGCTCTGCCACTCTCAGCGCGCCTCCTGGACGAGCTGTGGCTGGGGATTGAGTCACGTGCGGTCTTGTGCAGCCGAAGGCCCCCGCACGGGGGGTCCCGGGGGGCACCATGATCGTCCGCCAGGGGTCCGGGGTCGCGCAGGCAAGTGGCCCAAATCCGATGAGTTTTTCGAAGGGGTGAACAGCAGCTGAGAGGTGTGAATTCATCCCAGACGTCATCCCTGTCACCAGCAAGCAGAGCCCGAGGAGAATCAGCCGATAGCGTCGGCCAAAGAGCTGCTTATGCCGCGCGCCCCTCTGGGAGCGGAGGCTGCCGAGCGACGTCCGCGCGACCGAAGCGCCGCCTAACACACCGCACGGGGCGCAAGGAAGCTCGACCACACCGTCTGGCCTGCCGCAGGAGTGGCGCTGACGCGCCGCGCGCGACCACCAGCCAGCTTTCCGGCCGGGCCGAGAACGGTGCCTCGAGAATGTAGACACTCTCCGGTCCATCCGGAATTTTGTCGTTCTAGTTAGCACTGCTGCTGCAGACAGGGCCCGCGCGACCCCTTGCCCTTCCCGGATCCAGCTCGCTGAGGCTTGGCGCCACCCCGATGACCGCCCACAGGTGGCTGATCGCGGCCGCCACTCACGTCGCTTTTCGGCGCCTGGCTCTCAGAGGGCCCCTGCGGCTCTCGCTCGTCGCGTGACTGCCGCCGCCGACAGCATCTGCTCGGTCGTGCCCGCCGGCGCGGAGCTGCGCGACGTCGAATTGTTCGGCGGCTCGACCGCCGGCGCGCCCACTCTCGCCTCGTGCGCGCCTCACACATAGTATTCACCTCGCGCGCGGCCGACAAAGTGCGCGCACGACCTATGATGTAACATACTTGACCCCCCCCCTTGGCGCCTCGTGTTTTTCGTGCCAAACCAGCGCGATCTCGGCGGGGCGTCAGCGCCTCTCGGAGGGGCATCATGCGCTCCCGGGGCCGCCCGACGGCGCGGGCCTCTTGCTGATGGACCCAGCCGAGGTGCCCGACCAGTCGGACTGGCGCTGACGCGCCGCGCGCGACCACCAGCCAGCTTTTCGAGGGGCCCGAGCACGGTGCGCCGAAAGAGTAGACACTCTCCGGTCCATCCGGAATTTTGTCGTTCTAGTTAGCACTGCTGCTGCAGACAGGGCCCGCGTGACCCCTTGCCCTTCCCGGATCCAGCTCGCTGAGGCGTGGCGTCACCCCGCTGACCGCCCACAGGTGGCTGACGAAGCGCCACTCATCGCTGCTTTCGCGCGCCTGCTCCACAGAGGGCTCCTGCGGCTCTCCCTCGTCGCGCGACCGCCGCCGACAGCATCTGCTCGGTCGTGCCCGCCAGCGCGGAGCTGCGCCACGTCGAATTGTTCGGCGGCTCGACCGCCGGCGCGCCCATCCTCGCCTCCTGCGCGCCTCACACCCAGTATTTTCCTCGCGCGCGGCCGACAAAGTAGGCACACGACCACCTCCCTCCCACTCACCCCCCCCCACGATGCACAGCCCGTCCACTCTCGCCGGCAAGGCGCACGGAACGCCCAATTTGGGCTGGAAATGCCGCCGCCACGGGTTGGTGGCGCCCTCGGCAGCGGGGCAGCGCCACGCCGCGCAAACTTGCGCGACAAACTTGCGACCTCTGTCCCTCGTATTCACCCCAGATTTTGCCCTATCCAGGCTCACCCGGTACCGCGAGCGACGAGCCGCGCCAAGTTTGCTCCATTTCCGACAAGTTCATCCCGCCCGAACGCCGATCTTCGGCCGCCTGGAGGCCCAGGACGGGGCTCGGGACCGGCCAGGTGTGGATTCTCCACGGCGCTGCGGTGTATCTGCGCGCCCATGGCGCGTTCAGGGGTGTGCCTGAGGCGTGTAGACTGCGGGGCGCCGCGATAGCGCGGCGCCGACGGTTGTGTCGCGCACTGTCACACCCACGACACGGTCACAGTGTGTGTGCAGTGCGTCCACTCCGGCGACCGTGACGCCGTCGGCGCTCGCCTATACCGGCTAGTGTGGAGCTCTCAGTGTGGTTGCGTGTTGTACTAGTGATGCTGCACTAGGCGGCCCGTTTTTAGCAAAAACCAGATACCACATCGCGTGTGGTCGTCGAAAAACCGCATCTTCGCCCGTCTGGGACCTCTTCGTACGGCTCCAAAAACCGCTCCTTAACGACGACTACGCGGCCCGGCGGTCGATCTGCGCCTTCTCAGCGGTGGAGGGGATGTGGGAGGTACGTGCGGACCGCGTGGTGTTGCGACGGTTTGACGAGTGCGACTCCCAGCGTCGACTTTTCGACCCCACGGAGCCTCTGCTGCTCCGGGGGGGGGGGTCTGCAGACCACCCGGCCGAACTTCAGAGTCGCGGTGCTCCTCAAATACCGCTCAAACGCCCACGATGTTGTGCAGGGGACATATGCTGATGATCCTGGCCCGATTGGTTCGCTCAGAAAGCTTCTGCGCGGTCGTTAAGGTTCGCTCCCCGCACACCGGCCCGGAAGTATGTTACATCATAGACCACGGGCACCTCCCTCTCAGTCACCCCCCCGACGATGCACAGCCCGTTCGTTCTCGCCGAGAAGACGCTCGGAGCGCCCAACTTTGCCTCGTGCGGCCATCAAACAGGCGCGTTGCCTCCCATCTCCGCACTTCCCATCTACCCCCACACTGCCACTACCGGGGACGCGCAGATGCGACTCCCGGGCCCGCTCACCTCACCCGAGCCCGCCGACCAGGCACGGCCCGACGAGAACCCGCCGGGAAGGAGCTGGCCGAGCCATCGCCGGCGTCCCTGCCGGCTCATGGGCGCTCAAAAGGTCGCTCACCCGCCCGTCGCTTGCCGCCCCTCTCCCAGCCCTTGCCGGCCATAGGATCACGAACCTAGGGCTCAGTTCCGTCTCCCCCCCCTCCCTCCTGTAGGCAGGCCGTCCCGCGCTGGCGGGAAGAGGCGCGCCGAGCCATCGGTGACGTCCTGGCGAGCTCATGTCCCCCCCAAAAGGTCGCACCGGCCCGTGGCTCCGCCGTCGGCTCCGCCGCGAGCGGCGACGGTGAGGCCGCCGGGGCTCGCCTATACCGGCTAGTGTGGAGCTCTCAGTGTGGTTGCGTGTTGTACTAGTGATGCTGCACTAGGCGGCCCGTTTTTAGCAAAAAGCAGATACCACATCGCGTGTGGTCGTCGAAAAACCGCATCTTCGCCCGTCTGGGACCTCTTCGTACGGCTCCAAAAACCGCTCCTTAACGACGGCTACGCGGCCCGGCGGTCGATCTGCGCCTTCTCAGCGGTGGAGGGGATGTGGTCGGTACGTGCGGACCGCGTGGTGTTGCGACGGTTTGACGAGTGCGACTCACAGCGTCGACTTTTCAACCCCACGGAGCCTCTGCTGCTCCGGGGGGGGGGGTCTGCAGACCACCCGGCCGAACTTCAGAGTGGCGGTGGTCCTCAAATACCGCTCAAACGCCCACGATGTTGTGGAGGGGACATATGCTGATGATCCCGGCCCGATTGGGTCGCTCAGAAAGCTTCTGGGCGGTCGCTAAGGTTCGCTCCCCGCACACGGGCCCCGGAATAAGATACATCATAACCCGGGCCTGTGTGGAAATTCTTTCCCCCTACTCTCCGGCATTCTGACGGCAATCGAAGGCAGAGAACTCAATCGACCCCGCGCTCACCGGCGGCCGCCCGCGTCGCGGCGTCGGACGAACCCCGGTGTCGGATGCCACCTCGGTCCTCGCTCCTCGCACCTCGCCCGCTTCCTCGGTGCTCGGACGAGACGAGGCACGAGCCACGCCTCCCACGAGCGCCGCACAGTGCCCCAGTGGCGGCGTAGGGGCCGGAAAAGACGGGTGTCCCACCAAAATAGTTAAAAACTGACACCTCGCAGGTGGGATGGCGGTCGGTGAAAAGGAGCGGCGGGGACTCTAGCTAAAAAGGTCTGTCCCTCCCATCCTCCGATGCACCTGCGAAGAGCAGCCTCCTCCGACAGCCACAGCATCGGCGCGCTGAGCAAAAAAGGACACGGGTCCCGCGGGTCCCGAGGGCGCGGCTCACGTTCACATGGACCCGTCGAACCTGTGCCGTGTCGGGCGTCTCAGCCTATCCTGGGCGCACGCGTCACGGTATCCGACTCGTCTGCGTAGACCCGCACGCGTGCCTCATCAAAGTCCATCGTCGCCATGTCGCCCTCCCGCATGACGCGCACGGACACGTCCGGCCGCTCGCTCGAGATGCGGCGCACGGCCTGCCCGACCTTCTCCCCTACCAGCCCCGGCCATGAGGTAGGCCCGCCCGTTCCGCGGCCCTCTGCCCCACCGCCACCCGGCTGCTCAGGCAGGCGGTGGCCTCCGCGCCTGAAGCACGACCACCAGATCGACCGCTGCAGCTCCTTGCCCGCCATCCAGCAGGAGGTGTGGCAGACAGCCGAGCTGAGCCGCGAGCCGCAGCTCTGCTGCAGCCGCTCCATGCTCTGGCCAAAGGACTGCTGCACGGACCGGGCACTTTTCGCGCCGCTCAGCAGCTGGCCAAGGCCGCTCAGCGCGTCCGCAAGCGCCTGTTCTGGGCTGTGCTCGGCGCCGCAGCCGCAAGCTGACCGCTGCGTCCAGGCGAGTGCAGCCCAGCCTGCAAGGACCGCTGCGAGCAGCTTCCAGCCGGGCACCGCAGGGAGCGCCACGGAGCGTGCGGCAGGCGGCGGCGGCGGTCCGCGCCGTGCAAGCCGCTCTCGGGCCAGGTCGGCGAGAGAAGCGTTGTCGGCCATCGGCGCTAAGGCGCGCCTTTTCGTCACAGCACACTGGCACGACAAGGGCGCGAACTGGCGCGAACTGGTCGCACAGCGACACACGGCCTCGAAAAAGAATTTAAAGCGACGCAGCGTAGAGGGCCGTGTGTAGCCCTCTTTTTGCTAGAACAAAAAAGAATTTAATACTGCTTCCGCAAGTTGTGGACGCTCCTCGGCCACGCTGGCCACGCGTGCGCGAGTTCTTCGCAGGACGCCCAGGTCCATGCAGGGCCTACTCGCGATGCTGATGGCGCTCAGCGTCCTCCTCCTCGTCACGATGCTCTTCATCACCCACAACAGCCTTGACTCTGCCGTCGTGCGTGGAGATTCTGATCAGCAGCGGCAGTGGATGGCGCAGCAGTTCTCTCGCATCCACTCCTCGCAGCTGCGGCTCGAGGAACGGCTGCAGGCGATCGACGGACGGCTGGACGGCCTGGTTTCCAACGGCCTGCCGCAAGCGTCGCAGCCACTGCTGGCGCAGCCAGCCAGCGCTGCCGCCGACACCGTGGCGCCTGAGAGAGGTCTGCGGCAGCCGAGCGCTGCAAAGGAGGGCCGGGCGAAGCGGCACGCGCGCGGGAGCGCGTCGGCGGCGGGGTGTGAGGGCGAGCGCCGCCCGTACCACGTGCTGCTCACCGCGCAGGACTCGCTCTACCACACCACCCACGGGACTGAACCCGCATTGGATTCGGGACTGTGGAGGTATGGGACTGTAGGACTCGCTCTACCAGGCGTGGCAGACGCGGATCATGTACTACCACTACCAGCGCCAGAGAGCGGCCGACCCGTGCGGCGAGGTGGGAGGCTTCACGCGGATGCTGAACTCGGCGACGTGGCGGCCGGGCGATGATGTGACGCCGTGTTTCTTTTTCGAGCTCGTACTTCTTTGTTTAGGCGACGGGGCGGCCGGACGCGCTTATGGCAGCGATCCCCACCGTCCTCGCCTGGGACTGTGAACAGCGTCTCTTCACACCTGCAGCTGTGAGCAGGCTGAGATCCCCACCGTCCTCGCCTGGGACTGTGAACAGCGTCTCTTCACACCTGCAGCTGTGAGCAGGCTGAGATCCCCACCGTCCTCGCCTGGGACTGTGAACAGCGTCTCTTCACACCTGCAGCTGTGAGCAGGCTGAGATCCCCACCGTCCTCGCCTGGGACTGTGAACAGCGTCTCTTCACACCTGCAGCTGTGAGCAGGCTGAGATCCCCACCGTCCTCGCCTGGGACTGTGAACAGCGTCTCTTCACACCTGCAGCTGTGAGCAGGCTGAGATCCCCACCGTCCTCGCCTGGGACTGTGAACAGCGTCTCTTCACACCTGCAGCTGTGAGTAGGCTGAGATCCCCACCGTCCTCGTCGACCAGCTGACCCCCGGCAGCGGCTGCCGCGAGGGAGGCGACAGTTGCGACTCTGGCCCCAGATCAAAAGAAGTACATGCCGCCAAACAGGCGTTTCTTTTCTCTAGGCGACAGTTGCGACTCTGGCCCCACCGACAAAACGAAACACGTGCGGCGCGGCGCACGCGTCTTTCTTTTTATCGAGGCGACACGTGCGACTTTGGCTTCCCTGTGATGAACCGGCCGCACGGCGTCGCGCAGCTGCTCGCCAAGATGGGGCGCGGCGAAGTGCCGCAGATCGTCGAGGAGTCACACCCGCAGCACGGAGTCGCCCTCGCCTTCTGTTTCTTTGTCCAGCGCGGATTTCTTTTTTATAGGACTACGTCCTCATCACGGAGACGGGCCGCGTCCTCCCCTCGCCAGCTCTGTGCTCCGTTGGACTGCGCGTCTTTCTTTTTTTAGGAGACGGACCACGTCTTCCTGCGCCCGCTGCCCAACCGCGCCACGCCCGATCGGCCGGTGCGCGACCCCAGTGCTGCAGTCGACGTGTGAACAGCGTCGCTTCACACCTGCAGCCGTGGACAGGTCTGCTACCCCTTCGGGTACATGAAGGCTGTGAGCAGCGTCTCTTCACACCTGCAGCCGTGGACAGGTCTGCTACCCCTTCGGGTACATGAAGGCTGTGAGCAGCGTCTCTTCACACCTGCAGCCGTGGACAGGTCTGCTACCCCTTCGGATACATGAAGGCTGTGAACAGCGTCTCTTCACACCTGCAGCCGTGGACAGGTCTGCTACCCCTTCGGGTACATGAAGGCTGTGAGCAGCGTCTCTTCACACCTGCAGCCGTGGACAGGTCTGCTACCCCTTCGGGTACATGAAGGCTGTGAACAGCGTCTCTTCACACCTGCAGCCGTGGACAGGTCTGCTACCCCTTCGGATACATGAAGGCTGTGAACAGCGTCTCTTCACACCTGCAGCCGTGGACAGGTCTGCTACCCCTTCGGGTACATGAAGGCTGTGAGCAGCGTCTCTTCACACCTGCAGCGGTGGACAGGTCTGCTACCCCTTCGGATACATGAAGGCTGTGAACAGCGTCTCTTCACACCTGCAGCCGTGGACAGGTCTGCTACCCCTTCGGATACATGAAGGCTGTGAGCAGCGTCTCTTCACACCTGCAGCTGTGGACAGGTCTGCTACCCCTTCGGGTACATGAAGGCTGTGAGCAGCGTCTCTTCACACCTGCAGCTGTGGACAGGTCTGCTACCCCTTCGGGCACATGAAGGCTGTGAGCAGCGTCTCTTCACACCTGCAGCCGTGGACAGGTCTGCTACCCCTTCGGGTACATGAAGGCCGAGGCGCCCGAGCTGCGCCCCATCGTCTCGCGCTACGGCTTCGACCCGTCGGTCGTCGACCCTTGCGGGCCCTCGCCGGTGATACCGCACCACGCACGGGACCGAACCCACGCTGGGTTCGGTACTCTGGAGGTGCGGTACTAGGTGCTGATCCACCTGCCGCTGCTGCGGCGCCTCACGCCGGGCTGGCTCCGCCCCCCCTTTGCGCTCACGCCCTCGATAAAAAAGAAGTTCGGAAGCCGTGTGGTACTTCTGTTTCTAGGCTCCGCCTCTCCTTTGCGCTCACGCCCTCAATAAAAAGAATTGCCGACGCCGAGCGTCCCTCTGTTTTAGGCTCCGCCCCTCCTTTGCGCTCACGCCCTCGATAAAAAAGAAGTTCGGAAGCTGTGTGCGTCCTTCTGTTTCTAGGCTCCGCCTCTCCTTTGCACTCAAGCGAGACGACGAGGCCAGCCGCGTGTTCGGGTGGGTGCTCGAGATGGGGCTGCACCCACCTAGAACCTTCTAGGAGCCTTCTAGGAACCTTCTAGGTGGGTGCTCGAGATGTGGGGCTACACCCTTGCCGCTGCCCAACTCGGCGTGCGCCACGAGGTGGTGGAGCAGCTGCAGCAGGAGCACCCACCTAGAAGGTTCCTAGAAGGCTCCTAGAAGGTTCTAGCGCCACGAGGTGGTGGAGCAGCTGCAGCAGGAGCTGTCGCCGAGAGGGGGAGAGGGGGGGGGGGGGGGATTGGTTGCCGGAGGACGCACGGCATGGAAGCGCACATGTCAAAGCCCAGGGAGGGGGTAGCGCTGTGCCGAGGCACTCTGCGCTGAGATGCCCCGACGGATCCCCCCCCCCCCCCTCTCAACCCCCAGACGGTGTAGCGCACATGGAGCCGTGTTTAACTCTGTCTCTTCACACCTCCAGCTGTGAACAGGAGCCGTCGTCGCTCTGGCACACGGAGCTCGACGGCGAGCCAGACACCACTACACCTCGCCGTGAACGGCGTCTCCTCACACATCCAGCTGTGAACAGGCGAGCCAGACACCACTACACCTCGCCGTGAACGGCGTCTCTTCACACATCCAGCTGTGAACAGGCGAGCCCTACATCTACCACTACACCTCGCCGTGAACGGCGTCTCTTCACACATCCAGCTGTGAACAGGCGAGCCCTACATCTACCACTACACCTCGCCGTGAACGGCGTCTCTTCACACATCCAGCTGTGAACAGGCGAGCCGTACATCTACCACTACACCTTCGGGCTCGAGTTTACGACCGACGGCCTGTCCGCACACACTAGAAGCGCGACGCGTGCTCTTGTATTCCAAGTAGCGCCCGAGAGGACACGCCCTCCATACTCCGCTGCGCACGACGCCTATACCGCACCACCCACGCGACTGAACCCACGCGGCACGGAGGGGGGGGTACGGGGGAGATACGGGGGAGATACGGGGGAGATACGGGGGAGATACGGGGGGGGGAGACGGGGAGATGTGGGGAGATACCACGCTGCACGCGGCGTGCGGCCGTCTTGACTCGCGGACGTTTGCATGTTCGCGGGCCCGTCACGCTGGATTCGTTACTCTGGAGGTATGGTACTAGGCCGGTCACGGGGGTCGGGGAGTGGTCGCTCGACAAGAGGCACTTTATGAACCGCTACCCGAGCAAGGCACTCGAGCCTCCGCCAAAGTGCGCCGGCCTCAAGCAAAGACAGAGTTCGATACAGAAACGAAGGAGCAAAGCATGAAGACAGAGAGAAGGTCAACCGTCGCACTCCCCCGAGATCCCTCACAAAGAGGGGAGTCAGGGACCTCCGCCCCCTCACCACCCCCCCGCCACTGCCCGAGCTAGCGGCTCGAGTCGCCGCCAAAGTACGCCGAAGAGAGATTGAGATGCCCCTCAGAGGCATGACTGTGAGCGCCTCCAACATCAGACGCTCCACCATCAGACGCTTCGACGCGCATAGCAGCATCTCGAAGTGGTCGAGTGCAGCCCCTACGCCCTCACAATAAGGACCGCCTCCGGAGCCAACACTGTTTAGGTGCGCCGGCCTCGCCGCGCGCACGCTGCACGCGAAGTTCGCCGAGGCGGCGCAGGCGCTGCCGGACTGGCCTGAGGGCGGCAAGGGTGCCACGGGCTGGGCGAGCGGGGGAAAGGTGCGGCCGGCCGGTGATACCGCACCACCCACACGGGACCGAACCCACACTGGGTTCGAGACTCTGGCGGTATGGGACTAGGGCCTGCCGGCGCCGCTCAGCGACGAGGCGCTCGCGGAGTCGGAGCTCGCAATCTCGCTGGTCGAGATTAGCCGAGATCCGCCGAGATTAGCGGAGAGTATCGGAGCTCGCAATCTCGCTGGTCGAGATTAGTCGAGATCCGCCGAGGTCGTCGAGAGTAGAAAGGGTTAGCCGAGATTAGCCGAGAGTAGAAAGGGTTAGCCGAGATTAGCCGAGATTAGCCGAGATTAGCCGAGACTAGCCGAGGCGAGTAGTCGTGGCGAGTAGACGTGGAGCTTTCTCGGAAGTGTCTCTCTGAGCCGTCCCTGCGGTCCCTCTGAGCCACACCACACCAGACTTAATTAGTCAATCGACGAAGCGCCCCTGAGTCACTCCGCTAATGAACTGGCCGATGAATACGTTGATGAAGCGCCCCTGAGTCACGAGCAGGTGCGGCGCGGCGCGTGGAGCTGGGCGGGCAGCAAGAAGCCGCTGCTCTTCTACAAGGTAGCTCATCGGCTAGTGTAGTGAACCACTAATTAAATATCGAATCAACTGACCAGAAGCCGCTGTGCTTGTACAAGGAAGCTCATCGGCTAGTGAACCACTAATTAACGATCGAATCAACTTTCCAGAAGCCGCTGCGCTTTTACAAGGAAGCTCACCCGCTAGTCATTTAGTGACTCCACTCTCGAAGTCACTCACCCCGCTGCTGCTGTCGCACAAGGGCGGGCGCGCCGCTACGCCCTGGGGCTCCGCCCGATGGGGGCTCGAGCTGGACGGCGCCGTCCGGCTCCACCTCGGCCAGGCAAGCGGCCGGCTCCCCTGCCACCCGCACGCACACGCCATCCCTTCACAGGCCTTCCCCCCCCGGCCTCCCCCCCCCCCCCCCCCCGACCCCCTCTCACCACTGCCACCACCACCACCACCCCCACCACCGCCGCCACCACCCCCACACGCTACACACCCCTCCCACTGCAGCCTCCGCCTGGCCCCTCCGCCCTCCTTCGACCGCGCATCTCGGCTCATCTCGGCGCATCTCGGCTCATCTCGGCGCATCTCGGCTCATCTCGGCACATCTCGGCTCATCTCGGCTCATCTCGGCTCATCTCGGCGCATCTCGGCTCATCTCGGCTCATCTCGGCTCATCTCGGCTCATCTCGGCACATCTCGGCTCACCTCCCGCCCCGCAGGCGTGCGGCTCGTGGCTGCTCCGCTTCAGCGGCGCACGCTTCGAGGCCACCTCACACACAAACACACGCACGCACGCACGCACGCACACACTCACGCACGCACACACGCACGCACGCACACACGCACACACACTCGCTCACCCACGCGCACCGGGCCGTTTGCACCTTCACGCACGTGCGGGCGCCAGTCGTCTAGACGTGGAGTCGCGAGGGACTAGCCCGGCCTTTCCTCCCCCGCCGCCGCGCGCGCGTGTGTGTGTGTGTGTGTGTGTGTGTGGAGACGGCGACCCCCCTCCCCCTCAGGCCACCTCGTCCGCCGGCCACGCGACCTCGGGCGAGCGCCTCCTCCCCGCCGCCGCCGCCGGCGCAGCGAGCACCTCCGCCTTCGACTGGCTGGTTGGGTCGGGTCCGTGGGGCGTGGACCGGCGTCGCGCCTCTCGCTGTGAACGGCGTCTCTTCACACACCCAGCTGTGAACAGGTCCGTGGGCGTGGACCGGCGTCGCGCCGCTCGGCGGCTTCGACGACGGCAGGCTGCTCACTCATGAAACCGTCCGTCGATCTTCAGTGATTCATTCACTTTAGGCTCCTTCAAGGACAACGGCCTGGCCGCGCCGTGTTTCTTTCTCCAGGCCGTACTTCCGTCTTATATAGGCTTCTTCGAGGACGGCAGCCTGGTCACGCCGTGGGGCGACGGGACGTGGGGTGAGCACCCGAGCGCAAGCGGCGCAATCTTTGCGAACTTTGTGGGGCAGGAGCAGCACCGCGCCCCCCCCGCAATCTCGGGGGTTTACGGCGATCCGTCTCGGCTAATCTCGGCTCCTCTCGGCTCCCCTCGGCTCACTTCGGCTCACCTCGGCTCATCCCGGCTCCTCTCGGCTCATCTCGGCGCACCTCGGCTCCTCTCGGCCTCCTCTGGGCTGCCTCTCGGCCTCCTCTCGGCCTCCTCTCGGCGGTGTCTCGGCTCATCCCGGCTCATCTCGGCAGGAGCACACGGTCCGCTTTGGCGAGTGCTGGTCCTTCGTCTCAACGCGCAAGAGCGACGGCGAGCGCGCGGCTCGGCGGCCCTAGATGCGGGATCTCTCCCATCATCTCCCCGGATCTCCCCATATCTCCCCATATCTCCCCCCGTTTCTCGTGCCCTAGATGCGGGATATCTCCCATCATCTCCCCATATTTCCCTGTATCTCCCCGTATCTCGTGCCCTGGATGCGGGATGCGTACTCGTGTCCTCCGACGCGGTCTCCAGAGGACGCGCCTTCAGCTGTACCTCAGCCATCGTCAACGCCGTGGCGCTCGCTGTCCCGTGTCGCTCGTAGTCACACGGTGCTCGGAGTGCATGGCGCGAGTCAGACCGTCTCTCTTCACGTAAACGCACAACCCCGGGCCCCGAAATCGCAGTCTGTCTTCACACCCCGGCGTTCGGCGTACCCACGCAAGCACACACGGTGTGTACACCTGCGATGCCGTGCCGGGCTCCTGTCGTCTAGACGTGGAGTCTCGAGGGTCGCCCTGGCCCCTTGCCCCGCCACCGCGTGCGTGTGGAGAAGTTCACCTCACCTCACCTCACACTGCAGGTGGGCGGCGGCAAGATCGACGCCGAGCCAAAGGAGTGCCCCGAGCTGGCCGCCCCACACGCGTGAGAGGGAGGTCGCGCGCTGGTGAGTGTCTTGGGGCGGGGGGTGGCGGAGGGTGGAGGTTGCGCGGGGGGTGCACGGGGGCGCTACCCGGCGGCTCGCGGCGGGTTCTGAGCGGTGGACGAGATTCTATCAGAAAGGACAAAGATTGCTGCTGGTCCCAGCAATGCGGATGAAGTCCAGTGTTTTTTGTGTGCTGTACGACTCTGTTACTGTTTTTCACGCACTGACGGTCTACGAAATTGCACAAGACCCGCACCCGCTCGCTCCCGCTCCGGCGTGGGGAGTGCCAGGCGGGGCGGCGAGCGGAGCGGGGTGACCCTCTGATCTCTCGCCTCGCTGCCGTGCGGCGCTGCATGGGCGCGGCTAGCTCTACGCGGGCGCACATTGTACTCGACAGCCGAGCAATCTCTGACCGTCGAGTCGATGCGTCGCCTGCGCCGTAAGCGTACACAACGCCGCCGCTGCCTGCACTCCTCCCGTTGACGAGGGTCAGCCCCCGCAGGGTGAAGCTGCAATCACCCGAGAGGTAAAAGAGCCCGGTCTGTTCCTGGCCGTCGAGCGTCGCGCCCTCGCCGCTGCTGGCGACGGTCACGTTGATGTCGGAGCCGCAGCTGATCTGGCTGCCCAGCTTGAAGTCTGCCCTGGACGGCAGGTAGATTGCGACGTCGGCTTGCGAAGTAGCAGCCTCCGTGATCAGGGAGCGGAGCTTAGCCTCGCTCGACGCGGCGACAAAGTCCGGGGAGAGCGGCGGCAGAGGCGGGGGCGGCGACAGAGGCGGCAGCGACGGAGGCGACGGAGGGGCAAGCGGCGGCGACGGATAATGTTGTAGGTTGTATGCACCGCTGCTCGACGATAATGTGTTAGCACGTGCCGGCCGAGAGCGACACGTCCAGTACGGTTCGCGTACCGCAATCGCCACAATCGTCGCAGTTGCTTACTTCTGACCCACAGAGAGAGTGAAGACTCTCAGCCACGTGTCAAAGTTCGAGCCACACGAGTTGAAAGTGTGGATGCCCGAGGCGCAGGCAGGCGCAAAAGGTATGGACGGCATCCGGGGCTGCGTTACCGAATGCGTCCTCGTGCAGTGTCCGCAGCATCGCTTGAGTACTCGAAGGCTGCGAATTCAAGGCGTGTGCACGGCAGAGAGAGAGAGAGAGAGAGAGAGAGAGAGAGAGAGAGAGAGAGAGAGAGAGAGAGAGAGAGAGAGAGAGAGAGAGAGAGAGAGAGAGAGAGAGAGAGAGAGAGAGAGAGAGAGAGAGAGAGAGAGAGAGAGAGAGAGAGCAGTAATCCGTGTCGTCTTGAGCACTGGTCGGTATCCAGCATCTGAGAGCACGATTGCCAACCGCGTGGCCCCCTCCTTGGCGGCGCCCACCTTGGCCTGCGCCTCTTCTGCACGACCCTCGCCCGCCGACATCGCCTCGGCCGCCGCCTCGGCCGCCTCGGCCGCCTCCTTCTCGCGCGCGCGCGCCGCCTGCAGCGCGCCGCGCGCCGCCTCGAGCGCGGTGTGCAGCGCCGCCTCGGCCTGCTCGTGCCGTGCCACGGCGCGGGAGAGGTGGTGGATCTCGAGGCGCAGGTGCGCGCCCTTGGCCGCCTCGAGGCGGAGCCGGCACGCCTCGAGCTCCTCCGCCGCGTCGAGCGCCGGCGAGCGCCTCGTGCGCTCGGCGCAGGCGCGGCTGAGCGAGGCACCGAGGGCGGCGAAGCTAGCGCGGAGCCTCCCGACCGTCGCTGCCTCGGCCTCGACGCCTCGACGTAGGTGGGCCGTCCGCGCAAAGTCCTCGATGAAGCAGAGCAGCTCGAGCGGCGTCTGCTGCGCGATGGACGCGCACGCGCTCTGCTGAACGACAAAAGTGTCTGGCCGATCGACGTGGTCGAGCTGGAGCTCGCGGAGCAGCAGAGCCTTGAGCTCGGATCGGCGCGCCACGCGCACCTCGCACTGGTCGCAGGGCCATGGAAGCTGATCGTGCTCGACGCCCGGCCCGAGGCCGTCGGCGGGCGCGATGGCGCGCCTCTGCACGCAGAGCGTGCCGGCCCCGCTGCGTGCGCGGAAGACGCAGCTGACGGCACAAGCGACGCCGTCGTCGCGGCCCGTGCGGTTGACCAGAGCCTTGAGATTTTGCGCCCGCATCGAGCGGAGGTCGAGCCCAATGTCGCGGGGGAAGGTGACTGCACCAAAACCCGCGAAGAGTTGAGAAGGGAACTCGAGATTGGCCTTCGCCGCATTTAGATATCGTGTCCAGTGGTCGAATTGTTGTCGGCGGGCCGAATGTCGTTTCACCTCTGTCGTTGGTCCCAGAGGCGGGGTCAGCGTGGTTGTGGGAGAGCCCTGCAATCGGCCCGCGCGTGTGCCGCGTGGGCCCGTGTCCATGAACAAAACTACCCATATAGCGAGCTCGTCCGAGGCGAGTCCGTGGGTGGAGACCAACCCTCCAGTGGAGAGAGCAGTCCGGGCTGGTCGGATCCGTCTTCCTCCTCGAGACGACGGCGCTGCTGCTGCACGAGGCCGACTGGTGGGGGCACGTCTTCATCCACAGACTCGCGCGGCGAGGCGTCGTCACCTTTGCCGACGCGGTGCCGTTCTACGGCAAGGTGCTCCTGCCGCTGCTCACGCTCTTGCCAATGGCCTGCCTCTTCGCGTACCGTCACGACGACGTGAGCTTCTGGGAGCTCTTTTTGGATTGGCAATAATTGCTTATCAATCAAGAAATGTGGGTGCTCCTCCGCCTTGCGTTTGTTTTCATAACATCGAACGAGCTCAAAAGAAATATGCTACTCGCAGAATGGTATGGCCATTTTTTCTCACAGAAAGAAGTGAAAAAGAATAACAACGTGTCTCTCTCAAAAGGAATTTAATAACAATCGCCGCGCCGCACGTTTTGCGCACGACATCGCGCAACCGATCAGACCTGCTGCTGCACCGACGACGCCTCGCCTCCAGAGACGTCGCGCGCCTCCGCAGAGCTGCGGCTGCTCATCTTGGCGAACACCCGGCTGAGTCCGCCAAGGCTGCGCTTCGCGAGACTGGTGCTGCCCTCAACGACGCTGCCTGAAGCGAGGAGGCCCGCCCGCGACCGAGCGGGGGTCGCGCCTAGGCTCTTTGCCAGAAGGACGAGCGACACCTGCGGGCAGGGACCCGCCCCTCGTCACGAAACGCTCGATGCGGGGGAGAGCTCGCTGTGTGTGAGAGAGGGGCGCGCGCGCCTTGCGGTGGTGGCCGGGGAAGCAAGATTTTGCCAGGTCCTTGTAGAGTCCGCCGGCGATGAGCTCCTGCGGCGTTGGGGGGGGAGAGGGTTGGGGAGGAGGGGTGGCGGGACAGGCGCCACGTTGAGACATTCGCTCCTGCGGCGTGACTTCGAAAAACCTCGAGAACTGGCAGCCGCCGAGCGCGGGGTCGTTCTCGTGCGCCATGACGATCTTCAGCCTGTCCTGGCGCGCCTGCTTGACCTGCTCGGCCAGCCGCTCGTCGCTGACGAAGCTGTCCTCGTTGAGGTAGAGCAGCAAGTGCGTCGCGCTGGCCGGCCGATCATCGCTGGTGCAGATCGTGAGACCGGCGGTCTCACGATCTGGGGCAAAGGCGGCGGCGATCTCATCGGCCAGCGCCAGCGACCCCGCGTTGGCTGGCGAGGCCCAGAGCGTGCACGGTTTGGAAAAGGCGAGCGACTGGCTCTCGAGCTCACCCGACACGCAGAGCGGAAGGGAGGTCCTGTCCAGAAAGTTGGGCGAGCAGAGGAGCACCGCCTAGGTTGGTTCGAGTGGGGTTGGCCGGGAGGTAGAGTGAGAGAACGGAGCTGGTTGTGGCCGGCGGCGCCTCGGCGATGATCTTGAGGGAGATGAGCTGAAACTCATCGATGCGATACCAAATCGTGAGCGGCCAGTCGTTGTCAAAGATGGCCGGCTGCAGGTCCTCGGGGCACTCGTCGCGCAGCGCCTGGAGCGTCCCGCCGCCCTTTTCAGGGTCCGCTTCTTGGACGAGGACCAGCGGCTTGTCCTTCTCGAGCGACGAGCGGACCTCTCGGAGGCAGTTCTGTGGCGCGGGCGAGGCGGCAGTTCTTGGGGCCAGGGTGCGGTAGAGGCGGGGTGGGAGGAAGAGGCGAGCCTTGGAGCGGAAGTAGCCCTGCGAGAGGAAGAAGAGGATGACCTGCGAGCTCTGAATGTACTCCTCCAGCGCCCCGATATCCTTGAGATCATCTACCTATGAGCACACCGCGGTGCGTCAGGGGGGCTCTTTGTGTAGCTTAAGCAGCGCTGATGAGCATGTGCGCGCGTCGAGAAAGACTTTGATGTCCGGCAGCAGCTGCTCGAGCTCACCCTTGATGACCTTGACGGCGTCTTGACCGGTCGACCTATTCGTTTGGGTGAGGGGCGGGGATCACGCCGGCTGTTTTCGCTCCCTCTTCTCCCTCCATGACTCACCAGATGTGGCTGTTGAAGAGGTGCCACGTGAGGCCCATCGCGATGCTCAGCTCGGGGGGCTGCTTGGTCGAGACGAGTCGGATCGTGGGGATCTTGGCGACACGACGGGCGGCGACGATGGCGCCGACGAGGAAGAAGGCGAGCACGACTGCAACGAGGATGATCATCGAGTCGACAATCACATTGAGGCTGCGGAAGCCGAGGACATCGGCGGGATCTGCTCCCTGGTACCGCTCCTGGATGCCGAGGAAGGTGGTGCTCCAGTTGGTGCCGAGGAAGAGGAGGAGGAGCACGAGGCTCGTGGCGACGGCGAGCACGTTGTCCTCGACCCGCTTGTACGGCCGCACGACGGCGAGCGCGACGGCGTAGCATGAGCAGATGAGCGTCGCCACCACGAGGCGAACAAAGGCTCGCTCCTCCGGGATCAGCAGCACGAAGCCAGTCAGCACGAGCTTGCGCGCCAGCTCGACCGCCTCCCACCAGTACCAGGTCTTCTCGTACTCCCGGTGCAGGAAGCCGGTGGCCCGCGTCAGAGCATTCGGCGACTTGGCCTGCAGCGGCTTGTAGCAAGCGGCGAGGAGCGACGTGAAGAGGACCAGCGAGCCGGCGGGCCAGAGGACGATGAAACCGGTGGCGAGGGTGGTGATGGGTCCGTGATCGTCGGAGCCGCACTCGACGCTCGCGTCCTGCCGCATGTAGGAGACCTGCTCTAGCTCCTCGCCGGGCGGAGAGGTGGTGTAGGCCTATCAGCAGAAACTTACGAGGACTGAGGGATGTGGTGTTGTGAGCAACGGCAGTCATCAGCTGTGAGAGGGCGCCTGGCACGACCAGGAGCGGAAGATGGAGGCGCTGATGGAGGGCACGAAGCAGAAGACGAGCACGAGGCCCGCCGGCGTGAGGTCGAGGAGGCCGAGGGCCGCCTCCGCGTACCACGGCCTCTCGCGCGGCGCCGGGGCGGCGCGCCAGCGATAGAGCCGCAGACTTATCCCCGCGATCATTAGCAGGGCGATGAGGGCGACGGGGGAGAGGGCGATGGCGAGGAGTCGCATACCGTAGCCGAGGCACTGCTCCGGCAGGAAAAAGCCAGACCAGTCGACGGAAATCACGTTGGCCAAGTTGTCCGTCCAGCCCGTGTACTTGTCCGGCAGCCGCGCGGAGTAGGTGGAGGACAAGACGGTGCTGATCTGATAGAAGCCAAACAGGATCTTGACCTTGGCCGTCATTCCGACCCCGACGTAGTACTTGACGGAGCGGTCTGCGAAGCGGAGGATCGGGCCGATGATGCGCTTCTTCCGCCAGGCCGTCATGCTGTAGGCCCACGCCGCGAGGCCGCAAGCGACGCAGAGGCCGAGGACGAGGCCGGCGATGCGGCCCGCCGCCGCGCCGCGCGGAGCGCATACTTCGCAGGTGTCGCCGTCGACGAGGCGGTGCTTCTCCGCGGCGCAGAGCTGGCACTCGGGTCCTTTGAAGTCCGACGCGCAGTACTCTGAGCCCGCCTCCACCATCCTCCGGCCTCTCGCCACCGGCTCGCTGCCGGCGCATCGCTTCTTGCCGGCATTGGCATTGCCACCAAAGAGGCGGCACTCTGTCAGCACCGCGGAGGAGGGGCTGGCGCGCCAGAAGCCGCGCAGGAGGACGAGGGAAGAAAGGGTGGTGTTGTCCGGGCAGGCAGCGTTCGGCGGGCACGGCTTGCAGTACTCGGTGGGGGAGGTCAAGACGTCCCCTGGGTCGGCCGAGGTGTTCCGCAGATAGTAGTCGTCCATGCAGATAGAGCAGATGGTGCTGCCGCTGACCGAGCTGAGGGGATGCGGACATAGATTGCAGAGGCTTTGGCCAGCGTTGGCGGCGTAACGGCCAGCCTCGCACGCGTCGCATGCGTCGCTGCCTTGACCCGACGAGGTGCCGGGAGGGCAAGGCGCGCACTTGGACTGACCCTCTTTCGCGGCGAAAGTGCCAGGCGAGCACGGCGTCGGCTCGATGTTGCCCGTGGAGCAGGCGCTGCCGGCGGGGCAGGCCGTGCACTCACCCGCGGCGGTGAGGTTTGTTGCGTTCGAGTAGCTGCCAGCCTCGCACGGCAGCGGCGCCGACGCGCCCGGCTCGCAGTAGCTGCCTTTCTCACACGCGCGGCAGCCTGCAGCGCCCGTGTCGTGCTGGTAGGTCCCGCCCTCGCACGGCTCGCACTCGGAGAGGCCGCCCGTGACAGCGAAGCTACCCTTTGCGCACGGCGTCTGCTGCGTCGAGCCCGTGGTGGCGAAGTGGCCCGGCGAGGCGTCGGTGCACTCGCCCGCGTCGGTGAGGTTGGTGGCGCTCGAGTAGCTGCCAGCCTCGCACGGCAGCGGCGCCGCGGCGCCCGGCTCGCAGTAGCTGCCTTCCTCGCACGCGAGGCAGTCCGACGCGCCGGTGTCGTGCTGGTAGGTCCCGCCTTCGCACGGCTCGCACGCGGAGAGGCCGCCCGTGGCGGCGTAGCTTCCCTTGGCACACGGCGTCTGCTGCGTGGAGCCGGTGGTGGCGAAGTGGCCCGGCGAGGCGTCGGTGCACTCGCTCGCGGCGGAGAGGTTGGTGGCGCGCGAGTAGCTGCCAGCCTCGCACGGCAGCGCCGCCGCCGCGCCAACAGCGCAGTAGCCGCCCGCCTCGCACGGCTTGCACGCCGTCTGCGCCTCCGCGTCCTGGTACGTGCCGCCGGAACAGGGCGTGCACTCGCCCTGCTTGTACGCG